AGCAGAGGCAGTCAAACACAGTAGTTCTGGCCGATTCTAAACATAAAACAAAGTGGGAGTGTGGAGGTATTCTGGTAAAGTTTTTGCTTCCTAGATTATAGGCAATACCCATGGATGACTCTTCCACTCTTCCTTCTTCTTCCTTATTCCACTAAATGCACATGAGCTGAACAGAGCTGCAGCAGCCATCTTGTTGCCTTAAGGGAAAAGCCAAGAGAATACAGTGTGATACTGAGTGTGACATCCAATTTAGGCATGTAATCCTGAGCTTCTTGTGAGAAAACCTAGCTTGACAGAGTCAATTATCTTGAGAAACTAAAGCCAAACCCTGAGAAAAGCAAATCTGAGAATGAGAGAGTGAGAGGTAGAAAGCAAGTGAGGAGAGACAGACTGTACTCCATGCTTTTTTCAGTTTGGTTATATGAATTGATTTTTTAAAAATTATTTTTAGGCTGGTTCACATTCAGTTACTATTACTTGCAATTAAAAAGTCCAATCCAGCATAGTCAATATGATTTTTAGACTGTAATAAGTGCTATAAGAAAAAGGAACAGATATTATAAGAAAGAATAAGAAGGTAGTTAGGGAGGCCTTCTACAAAAGCAACATGAAAGAGGAAACCTAACAAATAAACACATGTCAGCCTGGAGAAGAGTTGAAAGAACGATTTCCCACCTGCCTCCTTCAACCCCTTCCCATCGCCAACATGGAATAAGCATGCTCTAAACACAGTAATGGAAGTGTTTCCTGGAAAGGACCCTAGTGTGGGTGTAGGAGCTGGAGATTGGGTGAAACAAGTCCTGTGATGTCTACAGACCCACCCAACAGACCTAGAAGAAAAGAAAAAGGCAACTCCATTCAACAATAAAATATACTAAATTATCCCGCCTCATGATAAAGTTCTTTTTACGTTGTCAACAATAACGATCTTAAGCCTATGGCTCCTCAGCCACACACCCTGAGTGGAACTTTATCCTTCAAAAAATCTGCCAAATTATACAGTACTCCATGAGTGTTCTCCCATTTAGAGGAGGTTTTCAGTAAACATGACAATTTCAACAGAAAACCAGCACAGCTACCCCTACTGATCAGCATATCCTTCATTCATAAAAATGAATGGATATCCTAGGACTACCAGATATTGGAGAAAAATCAATAGAATAAAAGAAACATCAAGAAAAAAACAATTGACTACAGAGCACATGTATGTTTATAGCAGCAAAATTCACAATTGCAAAGATACGGAACCAACCTAAGTGCCCAACAATTAATGAGAACACAGGAACAGAAAACCAAACGCCGCATGTTCTCACTCATAAGTGGGAGTTGAACATTGAGAACACATGGACACAAGAGAGGTGAACATCACACACCAGGGCCTGTTGGTGGGTGGGGGTTGAGGGGAGGGAACTTAGAGGATGGGTCAATAGGTGCAGCAAACCACTATGGCACACGTATAATACTTACGTAACAAAACTGCACGTTCTGCACACGTATGCCAATTTTTAGAAGAATTTTTTTTAATGAACCAAAAAAATAGAGAGAGAGAGAGAGAGAGGAAGAAATCACAGAAAACTTCCCTGAGTTTAAGGAAACAATTTCTGGAATTTAAAGAGCCAATCAAGTGCCAAGTGATAAAACAGACTGCTAACAGGAATGGGCTTAGTTTGACATTAGAATTATCAGCCACAGATGCTAGAAATTACTGAGGCACAGTCTTCAAGGGAAAATTATTTTAAGACCAGAATACTGTACCAAACGATCAATCAAGATCATTTGATTGAAACGCAAATAAACCCAAATAAAGACCTTTTAGGAATTTAAGGGCTCAGATATTTTCTCTCTGATTTTACCATTTCTTGAAAATTATCCAAAGAAATGATTAAGGTTTTTAAGAAACAGGAAGATATACCATTTAAAACAGTGCAACTAATATAGGAGTTCAATTGTTTTCTTTAGTCTCAGGTTTATAGCTAAAACCTGTGTGTGTGTATGTGTGTGTGTGTGTGTGTGTTTCTGTGTGTGTGCGCGCGCCAAAGGAAGGAAGGGAGAGGAATGTGTAAGCTATTTTTCTTATCCTCTCATATAGGAGTAACTTCCTGCATAATAGCATTATAAGAATGAAATTTCTATATAATAGAAAGTCAACAGTCAATATTTTATATAAAACTGATATATATATCAGAAACATATACACACACACACACAAAAATATATCAGAGAGCCATATATTAGTGAAAAGTGAAAATCAGAACAGGAATCCTAATTCTTCGAGGAAAAAATTTTATTTTCAAGAAATAAGCAATATGCATTCATCAAGTAGTGCAATCAAGCTAGAACATTGTGAGAACTGGTGTAACTCTTCTGTTAAAAAAATTAATAACAAATTTTTAAACAAGTTGTAGAAGAACATTACAGTTCAAATATGAAGTAAAACAAAGTGTAGTACTATTTTAAGTCAAATTTGAGCATGATTTTTAGTGAAGAAAAGAGAATTTTTCCTTGCAGTTGTACAGTTTTCATGTCACAAAATTTTATTTCTTTGTTTACGATCTAATTGCACTACGTGGTTTCCTAATAATAGTAAAAAATAATACCTAGCCCTTATTTAACATTTACCATACATCCTCTTCTAAGTTCTTAATATATATCCTATTCTACAAAATACAGTTCATTTATTAGGCAGCTTGGTCCTTTCATTGTGAGCTGAGGTGATGCGCCTCAAATCCGACACTGGTTGGTGAGACCAGGCAATCTGGCTCCAGAATCCTTGCTTTTAAACACTTGGCTACCCTGCTTCTCATAAAACTCTCTGTTAATTTACAATGCTTAGAATCAGTCTATTTACCTTAAACAAGAAGGCACCGTAACAATCAGAAAACAATATAAATTATATAAAACCTGATAATGTAAAAGTCATAATAAACCAAGCTGAGGAGAGAGGAAGAAATGTGTAATATTTTTCTTACCCTCTCTTACAGGAGTAACTTCCTAGAAAGTCAACAGTCAACTTTTAATACAAAACTGAAAATAATTCCTGCTTGGATGGTAAAGAAAAATATTTATCAAAAAAAAACTGAAAATAACAGTAAAAAAAAAAAAATCAGCAGAGAAGATAGAGAATGAACTTGAGCTAAATTCCTCGTATTTCATAATAGGTGTGATGGTTAATTTTATGTGCATCCAGTAGGTGTCAATATTTATTGCCTAATTTTAATTTTAAAAATTATGTATAACTTATACGGTAACTATTAGAAAAACTAAAACAAAAGTTTGTGATACCTTAAGAAATAGCAACATAAGCAAACTACAGCATAGGGAAGACTATCAGAAAAGCTAAAGAAAAGAAGAACTAGGGAAAGGGAAGATCTTTGTTTCACACCATTTACATTTTTATCACAATTATCAGATATTTTATTTTAAAAAATAATTCTACAATACTATGAATAATAGTAATACCCTGTAAAGAAAGGATAAACTGAAGATGGTATCTTTCAATTCTGTCATGGTAAAATAAAAGACCAATAAATGCTACCAGACCATAAGCCTAGTGGGGAACAAAAAGATAACAAGGATAATATATAAACATATTCCACTCTTACTTTCTTTACTGATTCTTTGTTTCTACATCATTACAGGCTAAATGGTTCATTCTTTTCAAATAAACTTCTAAAAAGACATTCATTTCATTGACTTCAACTATTGAGTTACACCCACTCCAGTCTTCAACCTTGCACATTTCCCTTAAAGAAAGGGTCTGTCTCAATTCAGACATTGTTGGCGGGAGCTGACATTAGTTATCACCCTTTTAGGGCATAATTTAGCAGTCCTTAATGAAGTGTTAAAAAAAATGACTGCATTTTGACCCAATAATTTCACTTCTTTGAATCCACTCTGTAGAAACACTCCCGAATGTTCAAAGATACCTGTAAAAGGAATTTCAATTAACCTACTACTGTTTATAACAGAGGAAAACTGAAAAGAACTTAAATGCACGTTCGTAGGTGCAGAATAATTTGTTGCCATTTAAAATACATCTACATGTAAAATATATATCTACATGTAGTGACAGTGAAAGATGTCCGTAACATACTGTTAGGCAAGAAAAGCAAAAATTCAGAATTATGTATTATACAATTTTTGTAAAAAAAAAAAAAGGTATATGCATATACCACATACATAAATGTGTACAAGCACTGTGCTTAAGATTGTGTGGAGGAAACACTAAGTTTTTACTATGCAAATTTCTTTTTTATCATCATTATTATTCTACAACCAACATGTATTGTTTTAGTATTTTAAGAAATCAGGTCATGTCTCAATTGTCACATATCTGGGATTAAGAAAGAAAAAGAAATCCAAAAAGGGAAATATTCAATGTCTTTCCATTAGTTCATTCTCAATATCTAAGAAAAAAAAAAAAATCTAAGCAGCACGTTGCAGTCTAGGATTAGCGAAAACGCTACTTTCGTTGGTTGGATCGTTTTTCTTTTTAGTGAACTAGAGCAGGAAAATGAGCACACAAAACTCAACTAAAGCGGAGTTGGGCAGTTGAAGCCATCAGCGGCGCGCGGCCGAGCAGCCAAGGGACCCGCGAAGGAAGGACTCGGAGGGCGAGGGGGACTCGGAGGGCTAAGAGGGCCCCGGGCGGGAGACGAAGGGCACTGGCCCATGAAGCAGCCGCGGTTGGAAAGAAGCTGAAGATTGGGTGTGCGGAAATCAGGTTAGAGGGGCAGGCGACCGAGGGGACTGGAAGGCGGCCGGGAGCGCTGTACGGGTCTAGGGAACCAGTAGGAAGCCGGAGCCGCCGCTGGCAGCGACAGCGTGGCTGGCAAAGCAGGGTCAGCCCGGGGCGTCCGACGAGTGCGCAGGGACGCGGGCAAAGAGCCCGAGACGCGCGCCGCCGGGGCCTGCCGGGCACGCCCGAGGCCTAGGCCCCGGCTGCGGGTGCGGGCCGGAGCTCCTGCTCTACACCGGGGGCAGACGTCTGCTGGCAATACCTTCCCAGGAGAGCTCTCCTCCCGGCTCCCGCTTCAGGAACTTGTACCAGAACGTGTCCACGCGGCCCGGCTCCGCCCCGTCCTGCGCCGCCTTATCGGCCGCCAGCTCCACCTCCCCGAGCCACAGGCCCGGCTCCTGCAGCGCCAGCGCCCCGGCGCCCACCGCGGTGCCTGCCGGCCTCAGGCGTACGGCCCCGCGCGGCTCCCAACGTCCCAGCTCGGGCCGCGACCCCACCACCAGCAGCTCCGGCCGGGCGCCGGCCACGGCGGGCGGCACCACCACCCCGAAGCGGAAGCGCATGGCGGGCGGCGGCGGCGCGAATTCCCCGGGCCCTGAGTCCCCGCGGCCGGCAGGCCCGGCCTGAGCGTCAGGCGGCCGCGGCGATTGGGCGGCGGCGCGGGAGCCCGGGGCACCGGGGAGAACACGTGCTGTTCTGCGCGTTCTTTGGGCTGCATCACGCGGTTCCCGAGCCCAGGCCTCATCCAGGCCGGCGGCAAGGGGTCAGCGGAGCCGCCAGCCGCCTCTGTGCCCCGCAGCCTCACGGGCGGCTGATTTCCAGCTGTAGGCGCTGGGGACACGGCGAGCGGAAGAAAAGGAAGAGAAAATGGGGTTCGGGGAGTGAGGAAAACTTCTAAGCCAGGCGATCGCCCAGTCCTCTCCAAGAGACTGGAAATTAACTTTATGAGGATCAAAGGAAGGGAATGGCCTCTAGACAGCCGCCTTATAATTGTGAAACGGGGGAGGATCTTGGACCTGGTCTCTGGAGCGCTCCCTGTCTTAACCAAGTCACTTACTCTAGCGGGTCTCAGGTTCTTTATCTGTAAAATGAGGGTATAAAATAATGATCATTCTAGACCCTACCAGCTCTAAAGGACCTCTGATTGGTGGACAAGACCCGGAGCTGATGCAAAACATTACATATCATTCTCTTGTCTGAAAAGCTACATGTTCACTTTCTTTTTTCAAAAACTACATTTTTAGTATGTGTAAAGTAAGTTTAGAGTAAATACTTTTAAGGTCAAAACGAAAACTAATTCTGTGACTATAAATGTACGCCTTTTTTTTTTTTTTTTTTTTTTTTGAGACGGAGTCTCACTCTGTCCAAATGTATGCATTTTTTAATGGAGTAAATTAAGAAAAAAAACCTTTGTTTAAAATTTACTTTAAGTAAAAGCACTATTTTTTCAACTTAAAACCTTTTTGGATCAAGAAACAGTTTTTTTTTTAGCTGTCTGGCCCAAATCCAAACTTCGTACATTTTGGTGGGGAACTTCAATTTGTCACTGCCATAAGACAATCTTAAGACGAATATCCTGATACTTTTTGATTCTTTAACAAAATTATCGTTGTATTCTTCCGTTTATATATTCACTAACATTTAACATAACACAAATCTGTTATGTGAATTAAAGACACGCAGAGGCATTTTTACCAGCGTTTGGAAGTTTGTGAATAGTGAGAGGGAACAGGCCAAAATTTCATGCGTTGAGAATATCATAAGTAAAACAGAAAGTGCAAAAATGTAAACTACACAAACTCAATCTCTTGTGGAACAATTAGAAAACTAATAATACATTTTACTCTTGAATACTGATATTCCACTCAAAGTTTGGTTGGTTTCTAAGCTTAAGAATAAACACTATGAAAAATGTGAGGACAGAAAGGCTGGCCAAACACAGTTGATTCGGTAGCAAATCAGACGTCAAATCACAGTGGTATGTGAGTCGATTTATTCAAATTGCTGTTAAAAGATATTCTTAGAGTAAGTTTAGGAAAATGGGAGTCATTTGGCGATACAAAGAGGATTTTGTCTACAGTGGAATCCAGACTCCAGTGAAAGTTCTCATTCCTTCAGGACCCAGGAACTAACAGCTCCAGACTTTCTTGTGCTCCACTGTGCTGCCTATGTTGTGTGCTTCCCAAATGGCATTATTCCCACTAGCTCTTCCAGAGTGAGTTCTGCCCATTCTGTAGATGAAACAATAGCAGAAAAATTAAACAATATGTTTGTTCAGCAGACATTGTTTCCTTTACTCTTCTCTCATCATGAGGAGGTTGAATAATTTTAACCATTGGAAGAAGTAACCCTCTTAAGCCCCTAAACAAAATATGTAATATTTTATGGCAAGGATTTAAATAAGGCATAAATTGGATGGCTGCACTGTGTAGTAAGTAAAATGCAACTGGAAAGGAGAACAAGACCAAAATAGGGCTTAAGGGACATATTTCAAGGCCTTGATCATATTTTGACAATCATTTAGTTGTGTAAGTATTAACCATGATAATATCCATTGAGCCTGTATTATGGGCCAGGAACATGGTTTTCATACTCATATTATCTTAGTTAAGTCTTTCAACAATCCTATAAGGTAACTACAATTGTTATCCTCATTTTTAGATGTGAGGATACTCCAGCTCAAAAAGGTCCAATGAATGGCCCACAGCAAGGAAGGGGCAGAGCCAGGGGCTAAAAGGCGTGCTTTCAGCTTATAGATAGATATACAGATATAAATTCTGATAAGGAAAACCTGTTGCAGAATGTATCTAAATTCTAGCGTATTTAAATGTTATTCTCCGTCAACTCTTAATTAAAAAAAATAAATTCCTGTAATTATTTCTTGTAACTAACTTCATCCTTAGGAATTAAAGAACAGATGAATCATGAGTGGCAGTCTAAACGGATCAATGAATCTGTAAAGACATATATATCTTAGCATTTGGAGATGATTTGGCTGCAGGTTCTTGGAAATTATAACTTTTATGCCTTTTTATATATGTGTTGGCAATGGAAACAGATTTAAGAAGCCAAGGTGAAGAATTTTACCAGTTTTTAAATTGTGTTAGTTTTAGATCTTTTTCCTTGTTGGGTCTTCCATGTGAGATTTCTTTTTACATTTAGAAGAATCATGGTATTTATTAAAAGGGATTATTTATGAAATCCATTTGAGGTCAGATTCTTGATGCTATGGGGACAAGCTAAATTTAGAGCAAGAATCAGTCCACTAGAGTAACATAATTCTGATAATAATTTTTAAAAGGCCAAACTGATTTGTTGTCATTGAATTTCATTTTTAGAATGCTATCTTCTATATAACTATAAACTTTCCTGAGGAATGGGTGATAAATTCAAATGCAGAGTTTCAAGATCCAATTCAAATGTAAATTCTTTTGAAGTCCTCGGGGAAGCCTATTAGTTCGATCTTGGGAGATTTATGTTTTCTGAAGCAATCTTTCACTAGTCGGTGAGTTATCATAAATCTTTCCTTGTAGTATTGTATATGTATATACACATTCACTGACGTAAACCATATTTTATCCACATAGTTCAGGGACTGTTATAAGTACTAGTTTATTACTCAAAAAAAAAAAAATCTAAAAGTTAAATGTCACATATACTATTTGCAATTTTGTAGCATTAAAAAAAAAAAACTCTTTCAGAGAGAGTTTGATACAGCTTAAAAACTTTTACATGTTACAGCTGACTTTTTTCTGGATTGAAAAACTATGGCTTAGGCTACCTCAGAAGTTGGGGTTCCCATAGGTTACAAATCTAGAACAATAGAAGGATATAAACTAAAGGAATCTATAACAATAGAAGGATATAAACTAAACTAAGGCTTTACCCCAAAATCCCACTACATTCCTCAACTATTGTAAAAATTCATGTCTTTTTTTGATACATATAAAAATCTCTAGTCTCCAGTAGATTCCAATAATTCCACTTCCCATCCATCCCACCATAGAGAAGTTTTGCATCTTCAGTGCAACACCACCAGCCTGTTTTGTCATTCTTCTTTCTTTGCAATTTACATTATTAAAATATTAGTTTTAGGAACACTCCAAGCATGAATTGCAATGAAGCATATACCCTTTCAAAGGACATTGACCTGCCCTTTCCGTCACACACCTCCATCACTGTAAAATCTACACCTCCTCCCACTCACTTCTCCTTTGAGAACCTCTACTCAACAGGCCATTCAAGCCTGGGTTTTGCTAGGCAGTGACCTAAAATGACTTTGCCTGGGGAAGGTAGAGTGCCAAGCCAGGTGGCTGGACCTCAAGATTAGAGACACTGGTTTAGAGCTTCCTTCAGCTGTAAAAAGATCCTCCTAGGGCTGAGTAACTTGAACAGCAGGCTGGTTAATACCCTTCCCAAAAAACAGAGTGGAGAGCATGACAAAGTCAACCCTTAGGAATAAAGAATGGTGGCTGGAAGGATGGTTTGAAACTCCAAAGGAACATTCAGAGAGTTTGAGAAAAAGGAAGTGGCTTAGCTGAAAGCAGTGCTTCTCATGTACACTTAAATAGAGAATGGAGACTTGGCAGGGCAAGGCTGATAGTACTTTTTTTAAAAATTATTCTACTTTAAGTTCTGGGATACATGGCAGAACATGCAGTTTGTTACATAGGTTATACAACTGCCATGGTGGTTTGCTGCACCCATCAACCCATCATCTACTTTACATATTTCTCCTAATGCTATCCCTCCCCTACCCCACTCCCAACAGGTTCTGATGTGTTATTGTTCCTCCCTGTGTCCATGTGTTTCACTGTTCAATCCCACTTCTGAGTGAGAACCTGCAGTGTTTGGTTCGTTCCTGTGTTAGTTTTCTGAGAATGATGGTTTCCAGCTTCATCCATATCCCTGCAAAGGACATGAACTCATCCTTTTTTATGGCTGCATAGTATCCATGGTGTATGTGCCACATTTTCTTATCCAGTCTATCATCAATGGGCATTTGGGTTGGTTCCAACTCTTTTGCTGTTGTGAATGGTGCTGCAATAACATATGTGTGCATGTGTCTTTATAGTAGGAATGATATTA